ACATATTTATTCAACCCAAACCAGTTGGAGTATTCATATACCCAACAAACATTATGAATACAGTGTATTGATCAGGTTCAGAGAATTTCAATGTTTTCACTGTCTCCAAACATCCAGTATAAACAATGTGCAGGTGTTACTTTGTATCAAACTCAGTTTCAGGCTTATCTGCAGTACTCAAAACACCCAGATTCCTTTCAATTTTATAGTATCTTTCCCAACCAGGATATGTCACCCTTGGCCTGTTTCTCCACATTTACTGCAAATTTTAAAATATCCAAAATGTCCAAAGATCTCTTTTTAAAAGTCCCTCAAAACGAAGTAGCAATAAAATATATTCCAATATTTTTGAATCAATTGAAATTACTAAAAATAACCAGTCCAATCTTTCCTGTGGCTTTAAAGTGTGCTTCTCTCTGAAAGTTTTTTCTCTCTTTTTCAGATCTGTCAGTAGCTCAAAATCTTAGTCACTGATATACTTTGGGGAGCGGGAAAAAACCCTGCCGCCTCCTCTCTTGAGTCCCACTTTCAAAAAAAGGGTTTTTTTTGGGGGGGGGGGGCATTCCACAACAGAAGTTAGAAAATTCTCACCCAGATTTACCACGCTGCTACACAATCATTCTTCATTCTTCCTTCAGTCCAGCTGTTCCAACATTGGTCTGGCCATAATGGCTGTCTTCTTCTCCTGCTGGTTTGAGGGCTTTCCCCAGATCAAGAGGGGAGACTGCCGTCTCCTTGCAATCTATGGAGTGTCCCCTCTCTTTGTCACCCCTCCAGGGTGACTTTGGTCCTGTTGGACCTCCTGGTGGGCAGAATTCAGCTGGAAGTCAGGGAGCCCTGCTAATCCACACCATGTCACTGTGATGTCATCTGGTCTCCTCCGGCTGCTTACTCTCTTGTAATCCCTTCTGCTCCAATGAATATAAAACATTAAATCCCTTCTTACTAATTATCCAAGCACTGGAGCGAGTATTCCAAAGGGCAAGTGAGTTGGAAAAAGGAAAGCTGAGGTAAAATTCTTAGGAGGCAAATAAAGGCCTAGTATGTGAAACTGATCATGGTTCAGCCCATGTGCTGATTGAGAGTGTTACAACAGTGCTGTAAAACCTACACTGGCTACCAATAGGTTTATGGGTGCAATTTAAAGTGTTGGTATTAATCTATAAAGCCTGATATGGCTTGACTGCTAGTTATGAACAGGACAGCATGCTCCCATTGAAATCACAGTTCGATCAATCAGCAAGAAAGTACTACAGTAGTGGTGCCCCATTTTAGGGAGGTGAGGGGTGGGGTGAGTCTTGGCAGTGCTGCTTTTTGGTGGCTATACTGATCCTTTGGGATAACTTGGTTCCCACCTGGAATGTCTTCTGGAAGCTGTTCAAAACACAGACCTTTCTGAGGGCTTTTAGCCCTTGATTTCATTTTAGATCAGTTATAATTTGGCTTTATTAGTTTTATTGTTTTCACATAGAAGTGTGTAGTTTTATTGTATACGGTATCTTATGTATTTTCTCCTTTAAACCACCAAGAGCCCTTGGAGATTTCACAATCAAATATAATAAATATTGCTCAGATAAACACAAAAATCCCTAACCCATCCCCTACACCAGTCCTGGGGAAAACATTTGATGTTCTAAACATTTTTATAGCCAAAGAATGACAATTATGTACTTTACCACAATAAAGGTATTTGCCAATCAGAAACAAGTCAAAACAAAGAAGAAATCCCTTTAAAAAAAGGCTGTAGTTTGGAAGCGGGGAGGGTTTGCTGTGGGGAAAAGGGAAAATGACAATTGAGTATGAAAATACAGTATGCAGAAAATGGTTGGGGATGCTTTCCTTCCATGTCATAATATTAAATGGATTCAACCCAATGAAGTTAATCAGTAGAATATTCAGGACACAAATAGGAACTACTTCATGTTACAAAATCGCTTGCCACGAAACAAGCTCTCCTTTGAATTAAAAGGTAAAGGTTTCCTCTTCCAACTGTGTCACTTGTGCAGCTATGAAGAAAAGGCCAGGGAAACCCCCAGGGTTACTTCAGCAAGTGGCAGACCCGTTCCAACCCTGGGAAGAAATTGCCATGGATTTCATTGTTGAACTCCCTGAGAGTGGATGGAATACAGTACACTGAGAGCATATGCACCAAGACAAATTCCTTCTGTGTCCAATCACACTTGGCCAATAAATCATTCATTCATTCATTCATTCATTCATTCATTCATTCATTTGGACAGTAATAGATATGTTCTCAAAGCAAGCCCATTTCATAGCTTGGAACAAATGAATGCCATGGTGGAGCAGTATTTGAGGTGTTATGTCAACTATTGGCAATCTAACTGGGCAGAGTTACTGCCATTTGCTGAGGTGGCATACAATAATGCGGTGCACAGCAGCACCAGCCTGACCCCTTTTTAAGTCACCAGTGGCATGGAATTCGTCCCCATGCCTAAATTCCCCAGGGAGCCCCGTTCATCCATGTCACTAAATGAATGGATGGAGTCACTGAAAGAGGCATGAGAAAATACCAAGCAGGCTGTACGAGAAGCAGCAAAAACTCATAAAGCACAAGCTGAAAAATGCCACAGCCCCCAAGTGCCATTTCAAGTGAGGAGCAAGCTTTAACTCTAAATGAAGTACCTAAAGTTAAAACTCCCTTGCAAAAAAAAATAGGACCAAAGTTCATAGGAGCTTTTCCTTATAGTGAAAGTAATCAACCCTGTTATGGTACAACTTAAACTCCCTCATTTGTTAGGGAAAGTGCATCCGGTCTCTCACAGTAGCTTGTTAAATCCGGCAGTAGGCTCCCAGATCAGGCTGGTAGATTGGGCAGCCCCAAAACCAATAGGGGTGTAAGGGGAAATGCATTATAAGGTAAAGAAATTCCTGGATTCTAAATTACATAGGGGCTAGTTGCAGTACCTAGTGCAATGGAAGGGGTACCCACTCTCAGAAGCTACCTGGGTCAAGAGCTAGGATGTGAAGGCAGATAAATTGATTAAGCATTTCCATGACAAGTACCCCCAGAAACCTAAGGGACCTCCAGGGGAGGGAGAGGAGGTTAAATTGAATCTTGAGTAACCTCTCTATGATTTGTTTTCTTTGCAAGAAGTCCTTTTCAATTAAGGGGGGTGCCTGTCAACCCTGATGCTGACCTGACTGAGGCCATTTTGAAGCTTCAGTGTTGTCACACTAGAGCTGAGGGATAGGGAGAGTGGAATAGAGGTAGCTGGGGTTTTGTAGCCAAAACACAATACTTTCTTCTGGGAACCAAGGACATTCCCACAAGTGGTCAGAGAGAGGAGGAGTGAAGTTACAAGGCAACTGGATGGTACCTTGATTGGACCATGTGACTGATCATTTGGGGAAGGGAATAAACTTTTACTTTTAATTACGTTAAAACCGTGGGGCGGTGGCAAGGCAAGGATGAGTAGAGGTGCAGAAGCCCGTCTGCAGTTTCAGCTTATCTCTTTTTGCAGTTGGTGCAATCCCCAGAGGGTGCTCGAATCCCGGAGAGATTCGTGTCGGTGTGGGGGAAAGTCGGGCTGTAGTGTGGGGAAGGCAACCCCCCGGCAGCAAAGAGGAGCCCTCCAGAGCCCAACGTGCAAGAGACAGCCTCCTATCAATGGCGGCTCCAAAGTCCGGATTGCCTCCGATGTGAAAAGCGAGTAAGTGACAGTTCGTAAGATCGGTGGAGAAAAAGGTGGCAGGAAGAGCTTAACGGTGGAGAGGAAGATCGGCAAATTATAATTTTTCACACTAGTGTTTGTCAGAAGCCTGAAAGGAAAGTGGCTAAAAAGCGAAGGCTAGACAAGCGTGGGCAAAAAGGTTCAGTAGACCGAAGTGAAAGTGTGGATTACAACGAATGAAAGGGGAAGTCTACGAGGTCAGGAAAATACTGCTTGGAAAGAGTCGGGAAGTTGTGGAGAATTTTGAATACTTGATTGGACTGTTATTTTGATGGACTTTCTAGGATAAACTTTATTAAAGCAAAGACGTGAAGAGGAACGAGGCTGGTGAAGAAGAGATAGCGTGGCGCTATACGAGATACATAGAAACTCCGAAGTCATTGCAACAAAATATCGTATATTAACTGTTTAACAGACCTTTTAACTGATCCTGAGGAGAACTCTATCTTATTCTATACTAACTGAAGTGGGGGTCATACGTGAAGGAAATTAATGTATTGAACTTAGGAACATTTACACACACACACAAAAAGAGTAACTTGGAAGTTTCGGAAGATACTGATTGTTGGCAGTTATTATTCAGCACTTTTTACCTCCCTACTTCCCGTGTGTTTGAAGAAAAAGTGCATAATCCTAGAAATGGTGGACTAAAAACTGACTTTAAAATCCCGTCTTCTTATTGCTCTCCTTCTTTTCTCTTTTTTCTCTTTGTATAACTCTGCTTAATTCTTTTCCTTTTCTTTTATTTACTGATTTTTTGGTGTTATGATGAATTTTTTTATCTCCTTTCATTTTCTCTTTATAACGACTATAAATTTATCTATTGAGGAAAGGAGTACTAATTGTTATATTGGATTGCTAGATAACTGATTTAATTGTTTTGATTAATTCACAGTATTAGGGATAGTTATACTTCGACCAGATTGATAGGGAAAATAGCTTTGCAGGATGGCTGAGAAAATTAAAGAGACCTCTCTGCCTAGTTTGGGTCAGAAGAATTATATTATTTGGGCTGCAAAGATGGAATGTTTCCTGAAAGGTAAGGAACTGTGGGATATTGTGGAAAACCCACCCCAAGCTCCCTTAACTGCTGCAGATCAGAGGCAACATGATAGAGCAATGACTTATATCATTTTAAGTTTAGAAGATGATCAGTTTATCAATGTAGCTGATTTAAAGACTGCAAAGGAGGCCTGGCAAAAATTAAGGACTGTACATGTGAGTGTGTCAGTATGCAATATTGTGCAATTATCAAGAAAGTTGTACAGAGCCAGTTTGCAACCAGGAGAATCCACTGAGTAGCATCTAGTGAATGTGCAAACATTGTTTGTGGAGTTAGAACAGCATGGAATGCAGATTCCTGAATCTCAGAAAGTACTTTTGGTTTTGAACAGTCTGGATGACATGTGGGACATTGCTTCTGCAGTATATGAATGCAAACCACAGCAGGAACTGTTTTGGAAGCTCTTAAAGCGTGTCTGATAGCTGAAGAGCAGAAACACCATTTTAGAAAAAGCCACGAGGAGAAATCCCTGAGGAGGGGGCCCAAGGAGCAGAATGGAAAATTCCACAGACTGGCTGACTCCAGAGAAGAGAAGAGCAGCATGGGAAATCAGATTACAGCTAAGCAGAAAGCCCAGCAACAGAGGCGGTGCTTCATTTGTGGTGAAACTACTCACTTAAAGAAAGACTGTTTGCAAAGGAACAAGTTTTTGCAAGGAAAAAAATGAGCTGATGGACAGGCTGCTGTTGCAAAAGTCAGCTATTGCAGGAGAGATCAATGGCTGATTGACAGTGGGGCTAGTCAAACAATTGTTAATAATTCTAAATTGTTTTACAGGATGGATGCAGCTGCTGGAGATGCAGTAGCCTTGGCAAATGGCCAGAAGGCTAAAGTCATTGGAAAAGGCCTTGTGCTGATTCCATGTCTGGAGGAAAAGTTTAGTAACGTATTATGTGTCCCTGAAATGGAGCATAATTTACTGAGTGTCTCTAGTTTAGACAAGCAAGGATTTGAGTCCACATTTGTAAATGGGACGTGTCTCATAAAGCACAATGGCAAAGTTTGTGCAAAGGGTATAAAGCAAGATAACCTTTATGTGTTACAGGGACAAAATATTCACTGTGCACAAACATTTGGAAATGTGGCACAACATGATTCATGTGTTTATCTTTTGCACAGAAAGCTTGGTCATGCCAACTTTAAAGTTGTTCAAAAGATGGAACAATATGCAGAAGGATTGCTTATAAAGGGATGTAAGGTATATTTGGATTGTGCAGTATGCAAAATATCAAAGTCCAAGGCCTTCCCAGTGAGCAAAAGTAGCACAAGGCAGACAACAAGAGCTCTAGAGCTGGTACATGCAGATTTGGTTGGGCCAATGCAAGCCAGTTTGGGAGGAGCTAAGTATGCGCTGGTCATTGTAGATGACTATAGCAGGTTTGGGTTCTGCTATTTACTAAAGAGTAAAATAAAGGTGCTACAGAAATGTAAGCAATGGGCAAGCTTTGTAGAAAGAAGGTATAAACAACAGGTATGCCAGATACAAACTGACAGAGGTTCAGAATTCATGTCAACAAGTTTTCAATAGCGGTTGGGATAGTTAGGAATAAAACAGACACACAAATCCGTACACAGCAGCTGAGAATGGTATTGCTGAGAGACTGAATGGAGTCTTACAAACCATGAAGGACTCACTGCTACAGGATTCAGGTCTGAACAGGTCATATTGGGGTGAAGCCATATTGACTGCTAATTATTTAATTAATAGGTTGTGGAGTTCCTCCATTAATGATACTCCATATGCAGTGCTATATGGGAGAAAACCATCTTTGGCACAGTGTTTGGAAGCAATGTGTGGGTGCATATTCCAAAAGCAATTAGAAGAAAGGGACAACTGACTTCTGGTGGTGACGTCATGACAGTGTGGAGAAGGGTGAGCGGAGCTCCATTCCCTAGACCCAAATTTTTCGCATCTGGAAGTCCTCTGAGGGTGCATTGATCCTGGAGGGATTTGCTGATTAGTGAGGGAACTTGGGGAGCGGCGAGGTGGAAGGCAACCACCCGCTGTGATGAAGAGGCAACCCACAAACCCGGAGCAAAAGAGCACAGTCATCCGCATGATGGCTGACTTGTGGTTGTGACAGCAGGCGTGGACATCGACAGAAGCAACGAAGACCAGTGCTGTAAGGGGAAAATCATCTAGCAGAGGAGTAGAGATCCAGATATATCAATGGTGAAAAAGTGAGTCTCAGATTGGAGGAGGTGGAAGCCTCTGGGTCGGGTGGCAATTTGGCAGTGAGAGCAACGCTTGGAGAGAGGAAAAGTTTTCACCCAAAGAAGAGAAATGGAAGAAAGAGAAGTTATTTGACCACTGAAACGGGGAGAAACAGAACAATATCAGACTGGCATTTGAAATGGAAAATGGTTGTATAAGGGCTCATACGAGTGGAGACAGATTACCATTATGAGAAGACAGCAAATAGCAGGAAGAAAGTGAAGGAAAGGAAATAACTTTGTGGCTGACATGAAATGGTCTGTGGACCTGAGCTAATGTAATCCTTCTAAGTATTAATAACGTGTTATGAGTGATAACTATAGAGATTATATATTATAAGTATAGAGAGCTGTATAGCTATTTGTTAAGCACACATTTTTCCTTTTGAATATATTTATATAAATTGTGATAATTATAGTGGAAGTGATTAATAAGTATACAACATGAAATTAAGGTTCTGATTAATAGATGAAATAGTGAATTACTAATATATATATGCCCTTTGATTGATGCCTAATGGGAGTTCTTTAAGTGCTGTCATAAAATAAGACAAATAGCACAGGAAACACAAGCAGGCAACCTCATTTTGCTTTGAATCAAAAGTTTAAGTTTATTTCATGAGCAATTTGGAACATGAAAGTCATCAACGTACAAACAACAATTCAGAAAGATAATACTTACATCAACAACCCATTGCAATGAGGTCCACTGGTAACAGCTAAATCCAGCAAGGAGCAGCTACCATCCGTGGCCATGATCTGAAACAAAACCCCTTCTTATATAG